TTGTTTTCCTTTCAAGGGTGGGCACGCAGCTTGGAGTGACCGACCACCTGCGTGCAACCTGATGCTCTGTGCCTAAAAGGTAAAAATTAATTCATTAAATGAACGAATTATCAACTGAAAATGCAGGGGATCGGCATCGATGCTGACGGAGATGGAAAACAAGTAAATCCCTCCGAGGGCGAGGCTGGGTGAGCCGTGGCAATCGCGGCGGGCAGGGCTCGCTGTCCTTCCTGGAGCGGCCCCGCTCCCCGCCCCGCCCGGCCCCGGCAGCGCCCGCCCCACAGCCAGGGCTGTGCCGGGACCGGGGACCGGGGAACGGGCACAGGAACGGCCCAGGAACGGCACAGCACGGGCACAGCACAGCACAGCACCGGAGCTCCGCCTCGCCCTCCGCAACGGTAGCTTTTTGCTGGGGCTTTCAGCGTCCTTATCGCCCGTGGTTCCTTCGGGGCGCCTCTGGGAGATGCTCTGATGAGCAGCAGGGCCTGGCGAGGAGGAGGACCACCGCGTTTTCTGGTCGGGGATTGCACGTTAAGTCGGAATTTAGCTCTCTTTGGTTAAGTAACGCGCTTGGAAAGACTGGTTTAAGGGAAGCTGTTGCTGGCCAGGCTGTGCTGGGCGAGCCCTGCCCGAGGGAGCAGCAGGAGCAGGGTGCTGGCAGCAGTGATCAGCAGCAGTGATCGGCAGCAGGACGATGCTGGCAGCAGTGCTCCTGACCGCAGTGAAGCGAGCAGTGGGTGTGACCTGATTTTTTGGCTGCCAGGTGTCTGCACTCCTGGGTTTCGGGAGAGATGCCAGTCTAAGGGGAGAGGATGCCCTACAGCATCAGAACGAAAGTATTTTGAGTCAACTTACAGCTTGTTTCATTTGTGCCTTCTCTGAAGACTATTTTCTTAACTTTAGATCAGCTGAATGATTTTTAAGTGTATACTGTTTCTCCAGCAGTCAAGGCTGAAATCAGGTGGCTGACTAGTCTAATATGATGTGACGATGAGAAGGAATGCCACAAAGCTGGCCAGGGTGCACAAATGCATGCCTCACAGCTATTTGGCTTTCTAGGCCTTTCTTTTTTTTTTGATGTTAAACCTCCTTGGAAAGGGCCTGACTTGGTATTTAAATGGAACCATGTGTAATGTTTGTGCTTAGGGGATTATGTCAGTATGCTCTTGGCAGCATTTTAATGAGCTGGATAAGAAATGAAACTGCCTGTTGTGCCACTGTGCTGTTTTCCTGGTAAAAAGCGGAAGCTCTGTGGTTGATGTAATTATGACATCTCTGAATTACTGGAAGCATATCTTCTGGTGTGTCAGAGTAGGGTGTGGAATGTAGTTCTGAAAATGAGAAAGTGATTGAAAAAGGAACATGGACAATCTGCCATTCATTAAAAAAAAAGAACTATCTAGGGATGTTGTTTCCTTACTCTGTAAGGAATTGGTTGTGCTGGTGCTGGGTGAGAGGGTCTAGGCTATCCTAGCAATTGACTGCTACTGCTGAGAGCAAAGGCAAAAAGTCTGGGAACTCCTGCTGAGTGTGTCTGGGTGTGGAAGAAGGCTGGCAATATGGGTTCTAGATAGTATAGTATAGAGGGACAGGGTATGAAAAATCAGACCTGTTGGTATCGGTTCCTTTCTCTCATGAGCAGCACAGCAAATGAAGGGTGGAGTCTGCTGCCAGAGTGCCAGCCCACGGCTGAGTGGCTGCACGTGGCATATAAAGACTGTTTGGGGGGGTTGGTGGTGGTTCTTCTGGCATTTATTTCCTCTCAGCAATCTCAGTGGTTGAGATTGGAGGCCACGCTGTGGGGCTCAGGTTGTGAGTGTCAGGAGGGGCACCTGGCAGTGCCCACCTTTCCTGATCCCAGTGCTCAGGGGCAGCAGGGGCACCATGGGCCATCCAGGAACTGTACTTCATAAGGGTTGCTCATTATCAGGCAGCCACTTTCTGTGAAGCATCACCAGTTCCCCCCGTGCCTCCTTTCTGGCAGCAAAATCGCTTCTGTCTTCCCTTTTGTAAAGTTGAACCAGTGTATGTCCCTTCCTCCAGAGAAGAGAGATTTTTATATCTCATCTGTACTCCCCTTGGGACAGTGGACCCACAGGTATGAGTTAGTACAGGAATCTGTCAGGAAAGGGCAATACTTGACAGCTTTTCCCAACACAGGCTCCCTGGCACATCCCTAGCCCAGCGGAGGGGTGAGTCTGGTCCCCACCACCTCTTGCCCTTCAGCACTCAGCTGTGGGATTCAGGTCCATGTTTGATTAGCAAAAACCTCAGGTAGTGTAATAAAATGTGAAGGACCCTTATAATCCTTGCAAAATTTGGGTTCAAAGGGATAAACTTAGGAGGTGGTTTCATCCCTCTGCTTAAAGGCAGCCTAAATTCAAATTTTGAATCGTATTACTCAAGGCCTTATAAAAATATGTATTAAAAAGATACACAAGTGCTTCTTCTGGAACATCCTGGCCAGATTATTCACTCCAACACACTTAATCCTGATTTGTATTGTGAATTCATGTTGCAGCATGTCACAAGTGTAGCACAAGCGATTCACGCAGCCGCTGTTTTTGTTGAACTAAAATTAATTCAGTAACGGACTCCTACTTGCCGAAGTACTTTATTTATTTATTTTTTTAATTCTATATAATTTTAACTCCATTACAAAGAAATAGCATTCACTCTCATTTGTATTAGTGGGAGCTAAATGCAAAAACCTTCACTTTTCCCTGCTATGTAAGTAATGTTTCAATGACTGTTCTCTATACTTATTTTAAAAGTGCTACTAGAACTAATATAACCTAGCTATATATATATGTATAAAATATAATAATAAATATAAATATAATATAAATATAATAATATATATAAATATAATAAATAATAGATAAATGTAGGCATCAGTTCATTGCTGTGTGCGGCCCAGGCAGGTGGAACCAGCAGGGAGGTGTTCACAGCATCAGGCCTGGCAGGGCTCAAAAAGCATTTGGACAATGCTCTCAGGCACAGGGTATGGTTCTTGGGGCTGACTTGGGAAGAGCCAGGAGTTGGATGTTGATGATCCTAGTGAGTTCCTTGTAGCTCTGGAGGTTGCATGATTCTCTGAACACGTTTTCTGAGTGACTCGCCTTCCTGTTACTGCTGCTGCTTGCCTGAAGTTGCACCAGGTCGGAATTTCACCGCATGTGACAACCTGGCAGAAAAATAGATATTGTGCAATATAAAGGTTGACAAAAGTGAGCTTTTGTTCCTCATTTCTGTGGTGTTTCAGAGTTTAATGTTATTGCACAATCTTTGTAAATTTTCCAGATGAAAAGCAGGGCGTGACTGACAATGTGGGATGACTGAATTGGAGGCAATAGAAGTCCAGATAAAGGGCAGTAGAAGAACAGAGACGATTTTAATTAAAAAAATAATCTTAACTATTCTCTTTAGCATCATGTCTGATGAAATGGGGGCTGAGCTTTGTAAAATCTTTGTTGCTTTTCTAGCTAGAGAGCAGATCAACATTTTCTAAATCCTAGATTGTATAATGGCATATATGTGTGACTGTAGGGACAAGAAGCGATTCTGGACTACTATAAAGCCTTTTTTAAAGATAAATCCTATGATTCTGTCTTTCCTTTTACCAAAGAGTTTAGTTGTAAATCTCAGCATTTCACTGAAGCTCAGGTAGCTGGAACATCTCACAGTATAAACTATGCTAGTTTAAATAACATTGTTTAGTCTTCTTTAATTTGTGATATTCCTACAAGCTGGTAGTTTTGCCAACGTAATTAATATGGTATTAAACTTGTCACTCTACAGGACAAACTGTGAAAACAAGGTTTGAGTTGTGTAGTTTGGATGTGTTTTTATACAGATGTATAACCGTAAACAGAAGAAAAAAAATACTAAAAAAAGGATGGCTTTAAGAGCAATTTAATAAACAGAGGGTTTTGTGCAGATTTTGGGAAATGAGCTAGTTCTGTGACATCCCAGAACCAATAAACATCCACGACATCTGCTTTTACTCTGGAGTGAGAACAGGAACTGCTTTCAGTTTCAGTTTCGTTCCCAGCTTTGAACAACGATCTTCCTTGAACTGAAGCAGTCAGAAGATCCATAACAGACAAGATACATTCCTAGTTTAAATTGAACTGGATAATTTTTTAAGAGGAACTAGGTTTATTTATTTATTTTAAAGTTTTTGATTCTGTTTAAAATGAGTGCCTGTTCCATTCTTTTTTAGATCTCCCCCCTAAAAGAAGTATTTCTCAAGGTTAGTGCTGCTATCAGTAAATGTTCTTTCTGGTGTGGTGTGTTTCTGGGTTTTTTTTTTGGGGGGGGGGGGGGGGGTTGTGTGTTTGTTTGTTTGTTTGTCGTTTGGGGTTTTTTTTTGTTTGGTTTGTTTTTGTTTTAATTCCTTTGGCAATGTGGAAGAGTAGAAGGAAAAAGACAAGCAGCTGGCCCTTTCACTCAGGGTGTTGTGCTCAGCTCTCCCTCCCCTGTGCCAGCCTGCCTTTTTTATCCTGCGAGGGTGGAAACTGGAGAGCTGTTGTGCAGTAGAACCACTTCAGAGGTGGAATAGCTTAAAAAACTGGGTGGGGGGTGGCATGGTGATATGGCTGCTCCAGTATTTAGCCAGCAGGTTTTGTAGCCAGCATCGGTACACTGAGCCAGCTGCTCTGAAATTACTGCACTGATTTGTTCCTGTGATTGCATGATGTTCCTGAATGGCTGCACAGTGGAGTCCTGCACATCCCAATGCTTTTTTTCTGAGTTAGGGATGATTTCAGGATACTCAAAGCATTATTGCAGGCATAGATAATTCAGATTTACGTGGTGGTGGAGACACAGCTTAGAAGGAAGCTGAGACATTCAAGATTATTTTACCTTTTAGCTTTCCCATACGGTTTAGACAGTCAAATATCTTTTATCAATAATAAATAGAGAACTCTGAATAACTCTTTTGTGAAATTACATATTAAAAACATCACGGAATAAAAATGTTCTTTTGCAGAACCACTGTAAGCAAATCCACGGCGATGCAAGGTGAGTAAAATACAAACAAAACGTCATCTTTTGTTAACATCAAAGATAGCATGGGTCCTTCCAAGGTGTTCAAGCAATATTAGCTTAGCTATTAGTTTATCTTCTAATTATATGAAATATGTATGAAAGGGTTAAATGGGAATATTTTACAAAACATAGAGCTTACATTTTCAGTTCTTGATTTCTGAAGTGAAATAAAAATAACAAGTGAGTAGTCTTAAAGTTCAATTTATTTCTGCTTAAAAACTGAAGTTGGTAAATGTTTTTTAATTCACAGTCCTCCCAGTCTGCTGGTGAGGCAGTAGTACAGTCTGAACTCGAAGAAGTTGGGGGAAGATGTTTTGCATAGAGGGGAGTGGCTCGTTTCCGTGTTCTGTACTGGAGGGCAGCTTGAGAGTTTCCTGCCAATGCTTGGATTTAAAACTTCCTTCCAAATATCAGTGCACAAAGGCACCTCTGGTCCAGACAGAGTGAACTGATCCTGCCTGAGCAGGGCTTGGACGAGGTGATCATAAGAGGTTCATTTTGAGCCAAATGATTCCATGACATATTCATGCCCATTCATCATGGGCAATACCTGCCCTTTTTGCTGAGCTTTAAGGACCAGAACTCCTTTAAGTTATACTGATGTTTATTTGTATTTATTTTTATATGTTATATAAAAATATATATAAAATATATTTATTTTTATTATATTTATATTATATTTATATTATATTTATATTTTATATATTTATACACTGTTCATAAATATGAGCTTGATGTACAGTTTTGGCTGTCCAGAAAACAGCTGCCTAATTCATGTGTGTACTCTGGAAAAGGAGGCAGTGTTGGGGGTCTTTCACCCTAGGGTAGGAGGAAGAGATCAATGCTCAGAGAGTACGTTCCATTCTTCCAGGACCTCAACCTGCCACGGCACCTGGAGTCCCCTATGGCCCCCCTCAGCCTGTCCCTGGGACTTACCAAGGTGGGTTGCTTGGTGACAGACCTGCAGTGCTATTGGGAAATAACCATGGGGAATAGGGGGTTGTACAAGTGTGATCATCTCCAGTTTACTTCATTGATATTCATTCTGTGAAGTTTCTTTTAATTTCTACTTTGCTGGAAAGTAATTTCTCTCTTTTTTGAATGTGTGCTGAGCAGTGCCAACAGTGGTAGGAGTTTAAAAAGTCAGATATTCTCCTGTGGTCACTGGAGTTTGCTAGGGACGCGTTTTTGATGCAAACTTCACTGCTAGGGAGGTTAACTGATGCAAAGCAATTAATGTGTGGCAGCTTCTTACTGGTGATCAGATTTTTTGATTGTTCTTTCAGTATTTTATTTTTCTCTAAAAGTCCAGAACTGAAGAAGGTTGTTTTCCTCCTGCAGTTCTGCTGGTCCGTGTATTCTGTTCCCCTTTCTTGCTCTGTTGCTGTACTTGGCACGTGGTTACACTTTACACTTTCCCTCACCTGCTTTTCTCCTTCCTTATTTCCTGTTCCACATTCAGAGTGCAGCACTCCTAAATGCAGCTTTTCTCTTATTTCTTCCAATGGCTGCTTTCTGAAGCCCCAGCTCACAATGTGCAATATCTGACAATCAGGCTCAAAGCACAAGTTGCAGGTAAAATGCAGAATGTTTGGCCTAAGGTGCTGTGCTGTTCATAAGTTGAAGCTTGTGCATTTTGCAACAAGGCAGCCTGAGGTCTGTAAGCACAGTTGGCTTCAGCAAGGAAAGAGTATTCACTGCCCCTGCCGTGAAGGCCACGGGAGCATTTTTATTTCAAATGATTGTATGTGCACACACTGCACACAACAGCAGTAGATAGTTGATGTGTAAAGCCTCAGACATAAAAGTGATTTTGTATTTCCAAAGGGTGGCTTCTTCTCTGGGGTGAGCTGGCCACCTAGGAATTTTAAGCGGTTTACTGGCCTGGTTGTGGCCACAGCCTGATCTTTCACATGTAACAGTCCATGTATTGTAACATAATGTGAAATTTGGTGCTGGGCTGATGTGGACTAAAGATAAGTCTACAAGTCAGTGTCTCAAACTATTTGTACAGCTCCACGAAAATACTCTGTGTGCATTTTATGCTCACTTCTGAGTAAAATAGAAAATCCTCCGTGTAAGATTGAAAGCCTGTCTGCCCACCAGGAAGGTGTTAAATGAGGGGAAAAAACCACAATTGTTGTTCTGTAACTTTCACTATCAACTTGTGCAGCTTCAGGGGTGGTGGTGGGAGGAGGGCAGGGCTGTGACAGGGGATAAGGGATGGGCAGTGCTGCCCCTGCCATCTGCTGGGCTGATGAGCTGCTGAGCACTCACACCCTGCAGTGCTCCCTGGCAGCTCCTGTTTTCTGCCCAGCACCAACTGGAGACTTTCTTGACATCCATTCACAAAACGTGGAACTCTTTCCTCCTTTGCTATGCACTTCCCTCTGGGAAGGAGTTGTGCATTTTTTGAGTTTTGACAGAGAAACCATTTAACAAGTGGGAAAGTGCAGTTTTTAGGTCACAGTCATCTGGTTTGAAAAAAGGTGATCTTTGGTAAAAGGGCATTTACTATCACATAAGTAGAAGGTATAATTTCAGGAAAATTTTGTCTTAAAATTACTCATTTACTCAACTGACAACTTGTAAATACCAGTGCTTTTCTTGGAATTTAAAGCTTTCTGTTTTCTCTACTTAGAAATAACATGCCTTTTTTTTTTTTTTTCCTAATTTTTGAATTTTGTATCTTTATGTGAATGAAATTTCTGCTATATTCAAGAATACTGCGTTTATTTATTTTTGGGGTTTTTCTTCTGAGGCATTAGAACCTCCCAGTCCAGTGTAACTTCCTTCATGAAGGTTGTCAATATTCATAACTGAAATATAGAAGGTATAAGGATCTCCATAATTCAAAACAGTGACCTAATTAATCTTTTGAAGATCAGTGAGGCAATTCTTTTCCAGTATCTAATTTTCATAACTCTCTCTCTCCTACCTTGCCCAATGTCTCGGGTGCAGGGAACTATGGCTTCCAAGCCCAGTACACGGGATTCCCAGGCGGACCTGCTGTTCCACCTGTGCAGAATCAGCCCGTCATGCATGGGGGGACGATTTGGATGCCTATCCCTCCTTCTATTCCCAACTGCCCTCCTGGACTGGAATACCTCACACAGGTACCTGCACCTTTCCTCCTTCCAGAGGTGGGGAATTCCCCTGGGCAGCAGCCTGCATCCATGGAAAAGCTGAATAAAGCACCTGGCTGTGTGGCAGCTGTGGGGTTGCTGCGTTTGGGCTGCTGGGTGAAGCCTCAGGTGTGTGTCTGAGTGAGGAGGTGCCCGTGACCCCTCTAGCACCTGTCCAAGGAAGATGCTAAAGGGAGAGGGGCACAGGACTATCCTACATCCTTCCCATTGCTGAGGCTGCTGTTTGTGAGGTGGGACATGGTTTGGCAAGGTGCCTTCAGTAAATATCTGTAATGTGGGCAACTGGAGAATGTCAGAGGTGCTTAATTTTCTACATGATGCTTTCTTCACACCACCTCGTAATGCTGTTAGTAGAGGTGCTAGTCAGGTTTCACAACATAGAGAATGCAATAGCAAAATTGTTTCCAGGTTACAGGATATGTCCTTGTGCTGTAAAATACAGTTCATCTCATCACTGGCAAGATTAACACTGAAGTATTGTTGCCAGTTCTGCAAATTGCTTTTTTTTTTTTTTTTTTACTTTTTAGCAATGGTGAGGAGAGGCTGATTTTCCCTAAATTTCCCTCAGAGCTGAGCAATAGCTGAGCTTCTGCTCTAAAATGCCTCAAAGAACTTCCTTCTTTGGTGTGCTTGGAGGCTCTGGGACCTGTGATGTTGGATCTCTGCCAGTCTCTGAGTCCTGAAAGGAGCACAGGCATGTTAGTCCTGCATGCTGGTGACCAAAGCAGTTTGGGTACAGCTCCTGCCATCAGCTCCAGCTCTTCTGCTGAACTGGCAGAGGGCAGGACAAGGATGGGGTGTGAGCTACTCCCATAGCTTTATTGATAGATAATCTGCTTCTATGCAGTGTATTGATCCACAGATTTTCATTCTGAAATGAAAAAGCAATGGCTCTTAAAACTACATTTCTCTTAGCTACAACTTGTTAACTATTTATTCTGTTTAATTTTTGAACCATGGACAGATTGACCAGATATTAATTCATCAGCAAATCGAACTTCTTGAGAGTAAGTACAAAGTATTTAAATCTAATAATCCCAAGAACTTCCTTTAATGCTGTGTGTTTAAGGTGGATCATCACCTTTCTCTTTCCTGTCTCTAGTAACCTGTCTCAATTCCTGCAGAAGTTATGGAGAAGAGGAAGGAGTAATTTACAGGGAGGAGGATTTTAAGCAGGTTCTACACAGCAGTGAAACTGAATAATCCTGGTAGCTAGTTATAGATGAAGTCACACATTTCTGATGTTATTAATTCACAATTTCTACTCTCTACAATTTCTACTCTCCCCTCTTCCCTGCTTTAAGACTTTTTCTGTCATATCCCACCTAGTTCCACAGACTGGCCTGTGGCTTTGATCCTGTTTACAGGCAGTCCTGCTGTTTTAGCAAACTGAGTGGCTTTTCTTCTGTTCCCCTCATTCCATTCACTTTAAGAACATCAAAGTCACGTTATCAGTGTCTTTCAAACAGAAGAAATAAAATGGACCATACATCTCAGCTGACACGTAATGTTACTGTATTTTCTTTCTATAAAACTTAAAAGAGAGTTTTCATTTGTTGTAGAAATTAATTAAAAGTTCTGTCCTGGCTCTTGTTGCTTCCAGTGTGTGCTGCTGTGAATCTTGACTGCGAGGCTTTTTAGTGGCCTTCTCACTCTGGATGTATTTGTGCCCTTCTCTGGCTTCACCCCCAGATTCACAAGTGCTTTTGCTTCTCATCTGTTCAGCTCTTCCCTGAGAATCACCCATGTTGTTACTGATAGCTGTGGGGCTTGCTCTGCCAGCAGGTGTCCAGGTGTGGTGGGGTGGGAATGGGGACTGATGGAAATCTCTGTGCTCTTCCTGCATGTCCTTGTTCATGGTAACTTCTCTCTGAACTCCTTCATCAGCCTTCTCTGCCTCAAGGTCCTTTCCTGCCATTGCCCTCCGCCAGCAGCTGCCTCTGAAGGACTTGGAGCGAGGCTCACCTTCCCAAAGGGGAGCTGTGGAGGGAGCAGGGAGAGATCTTGGAGCAGGCACACCCCAGAAATGTTGCAGTTCCTTCCCTGTTTTTCAGTTTTGACTGGCTTTGAAACAAACAACAAATACGAGCTGAAGAATGCGCTGGGGCAGAGGGTGTACTTTGCAGCAGAGGACACCGACTGCCTCACCAGGATGTGCTGTGGCCCCTCGCGGCCCTTCACCCTCCACATCATCGACAACCTGGGCCGCGAGGTGATAACCCTGCAGAGGCCCCTGCGCTGCTCCTCCTGCTGCTTCCCCTGCTGTCTGCAGGAGGTGAGTTGCTGCCCCTCACCCTCAGGTGGACCTGCTGTGCAGTTTTAAGGTGAATCAGCAGGTGATGTGAAACAAACGGGTTTTGCCTGCATGTTGTGGAGAGATCGTGGGATTTACACATGGGATTGTTGGTCTGGGAAGAAGGGAGGGTGCTGTAACGCTTGGACTCATGCTGGACATTTCCGATTACGGTGATGGAAAATGTGACTGATCAGCATGTCAGGGAACTTGTGGCTAGTGCTGAAATCTGGACTTGGAATGGAAGAGTAAGGCAATGGCTTTCATAAAATAATAGCCAGAGTTTTCATTTTACAACTGTGAAAGCTATAGTGGAATTCAGTTCACAAGATCATGATGTTCTTTAATAATAACATCATTCTGGGATGATTCAACTTCTGCAACTTCAGATCTGAACCTACTTAGAACTCTTACTCAGGGGTTTGTAGTAGCTGCACCCTATAATGACTTCATTTACTGCCTTTCCTTCACTGGACTTTGATCTTCATGCTGTAGATGCATAGCTCATGTACTCCCTAGTCTGAGGAGTCTCTTACTCTTTTCTTGAAGGCAGCTTTTGCATTTGAGGTCTGCAGTCTGAGTGCAGTCTTTTGAAGGCACTCGCAGACAATTCCATGCAGCTGATGCATTGAAAGGCCAGGTTGCAGTGGAAAAATAAGTTTTTGTTTCTTTGTGTGCTGTTGGGGGTTTTGTCTCAGGAGCATATCAAAGCATGAACACTCACTTGGAGCTTTTCTCTCTCCTGCCAAGATGGAAGTGCAGGCGCCTCCAGGAACAACAGTTGGTTATGTTGTCCAGAACTGGCATGCCTGCCTGCCAAAGTTCACCATTCAAGATGAGAAAAGAATGGATATTCTGAAAATTACCGGCCCCTGTGTCGTCTGCAGCTGTTGTGATGATGTTAATTTTGAGGTATGCAATGCTAAAAATCGGTTGCACGGATGTGTTTTCAGAGAGTAGCTTGATAGTAGTTTGTGGCTCAACTTAAACTACAGTTCTGTTGACAGGTAATATATTAAGTAATTAGTACATAATCTTTTAATGCTGGTATAATCAACTCACTTCTCTAGATATCTAAATTACTCTAGATAAAACAGACGAAATGCTAGAAATTACATCTTAAAGTCACTCATTTGTGATCAGTGAGAATAATTCCCTGTGGCTGCACACAGATTAGTTAATTAAAAAATTGAGGAACAAAGTCTTTTTGAATCTATTATGTTATTCTCAGCTGTATTAGGTATTTAGTGAAATGACTTTCTACAATCGCTTATTAAATAAGTTAATAATCATTCAATGAACTAATAAATTAAGATAATTTAGACCTAAAATACAGAGTTGAATGACTGAGGAGTTGCAACTTTCACTTTAAATTAATAGTGACTAATGCACATTAAGTAGTAGATATATTAGTTTACCATTTAATATTTAAAATAATGTTGCAAAGAGTTATTGAAGCAAATTTAGTATGATTTTATTTTGGGGACTAGTCTTTCACATGACCCAGAAGACTGGACCTAACTTTAGGAAACATAATGTTGACAAAGGGCTAATCTCTGCTTTGGAACAGAATAATGTAGTCTGTTTAATTTTCATTTGTTCCTGATACATGGCAGGAGGAAATAATTCACTCTCCTGGCTAAAAGACAAGACTTCCAGGAGAAAGTGTGTGTGTGTGGTTGCTGTGCTACTAAAGAATGACTTTCTGATAGTCTGATTGCCTTTTGGTACAAACACTTTTATTCAGTAATTACATTAATTCACATAACATAGTCTGAAGCTTTCAAATGGACCTGCCCTGAGTTGGATTTGGGAATACTATGAATGACAGGTTTCATGATGTTGTTTTAATTTTATATTAAACCAGGTGAAGTCTGTGGATGAGACCTGTACTGTGGGGAGGATCTCTAAGCACTGGACTGGGTTTGTGAAAGAAGCCTTTACAGATGCAGATAACTTTGGAATCGCATTCCCAATGGACCTGGATGTGAGAATGAAAGCTGTCATGATCGGAGCTTGCTTCCTTATCGTAAGTCTCTTGTTCCCTAATATTTGAATAGGAGCTATCTTTTTCATCTTCATGTTCAAACTGTGCTGGTAAAGGGTTTGATTCTGAGCTGGTGGACAGCTGAGTGCTGCAGCCAGTTCATCCTGACCCTCCTTGGAAGTGTGTGAAGCACTGAGCTGAGCAGCACTGAATGCTCTCAGAGGAGTAATTCCCCAGTGGAGGGGCTATGTGGAGGCTAAGCACATTGAACCTGTTAGAGCACTTCTCAGCTGCACTCAGACTCTGCTATGACAGCATTGCAGGGCACTTTGCTCTTTGGAAACAGTGTGCAGCACTCTTATGTTTCCACTTACCTGTGGATGCATTTCTGCATCAGCACAATTGCAGAACTGCTGCTGTGCTGGCAGGGCTGCAGGGGGGCAGGAAAGGGGCATGTGAAGCACCTGGAGTTTGGGAAGGTGTCCCCAGCCTCCAACAGCCCAGGCTTTGTTTAACTGGGTGTGTTCTTGTGCATCAAGCACAGCCTTAGTGAGTCTGAGCAATGCAGGACTCCAAGCACAGAAAATGGATCCCCCACGTGTAAACTTAATCATTATTACAGTGGAATCCAGTTGGGGGTAAAATGGAAGGCACTGAGTCAGGTGGAACAAAGCCAGGGCAGGAATCCTGAGCAAAGGAATCGTAGCTTTGGCTAGAGATAAATGAAAAGTTTCCATGTTGGTCTTTCACCATCTCTCTCTGGGGTGTCCCATTCCGAGAGAGCCAAGTGTTGGGGCATGGCAACAGCCTCCCCCACCTTGCAAAGAACCTTGCAGCAGCAAGAACCAAACAGAACCTTGCAAAGCAGCCAGGAGACCTCTTAAAGAAGAACCACATTAAGTATTCCTTTGTTTGCTTTTTTTCTTTTACCCCCTAAGGACTTCATGTTTTTTGAGCACGGTGCTGATAGGCAACAGCAGTCGGGAGTTTGGTGATGAAATCTAGAAGTTTTTTATAGAAGAAAGAAGAACATGGATCTCCCAGTGAACTGCAGGGCTCCAGTAAGAATGTGAGAAGTGTACATATTACAGTTACACTTCTATAACGGAAAAGCTTTATTATCCTTTTTTTCTTGGTGTGTTTTTTTTTTTTTTTTGTGGGGGGTTCTCTGGTGAAATACTTTGTAGTATTGAAATAGGAACCCTTTATCTGCATAGATGAATACTGTGGTTTATAAAAATACATGGCAACCTTTTTATTCCCAAGAGATTTGAAATTGTAAAGTAACTACTTATAGTAGTTATTTCTAACTACTTATAGTAATGCTTTGATTCCTAAAAAAGAGGACTACTTTTGTATTCAATATTAATGTTAATAGTGAGCCTAAAAAAGAGATGCTGATCTTTTCCTGTGTATCCTTTGGTAGTTTTGCTTTGGTGTTCACATTCTGTAGATATATTGTGTATAGATATATTTCTGTAGATATATTCTTATCCAAATATATACGTTCAAAACAATGTAATGGATGTGAAAAGAACTATCTGAAATCAGAGTAAAATTGTATTAATTTGGTGTATTGGGTCTGGCTTCATTTTGCCACAGCTGCCCTCCCAGCGCTGTGCTTTGCGTTGGTAGCTGGAGAGGTGTTGATAACACACCAGTGTTTTGGCTGCATCAGGGCTGTCTCTCAACATTCCACCCCCCATCAGCAGGCTGGGAGCTGACCCAAGCTGACCAAAGGGGTATTTCATATCATATCATGTCAGCTCAGATACAAAAGCTAAGAGAAGGAGGAGGAGGAGGAAGCAGGGGCATTGATGTTTGCCTTCTGGAGCAACTGCTGCATGTGCTGGAGCCCTGCTTGCCAGGAGGAGGCCAGACATCACTTGCTGTAGAAGAAAGAAGAAGAGAAGTAGAAGAATAAGTTGTTGTTTGTTTTTTTTTTTTTTTTTTACTCTTTGTGCACTCACAAACTTTCCCTTTTGCTTTTGTAAACTGGCTTCTCTCAACCTATGAATGCTCTTCCATCTTCTTTTCTCTCCCCTGTGCAGCTGGGAAGGGGGAGTGATAGAGTGGCTTGGTGGGCAGCTGGCACCCAGCCAAGGTCAGCCCACCACATCTGGTGATAAATATGTTGTCAAGTATGACTCCTGAGCGTTTCCTCATTTTGGTTGCTTTGAAACTTGAAGTTTATATTTTCAGTGACGGAAGTTTAGAGGAGACAGGAAATATAAATATCTGTGTTTGCTTCTGTTTAATAATCCTTTAGTAATTGCTTTGTGCATGAGTGTGTCCTGAGGCAAGGAAAAACTAGTTAGTTACTCCTCAGTTTCTCCACTTACCTTTCCTCCTCATTCATTCCATTGTTTTCATGGATTTTAAGTCTGCCTGTTGGTGTGAGGGTGCAGGAATAATAAACAGAAGAATTCACTTCAAAAGCAGACACATGAGATAGCAAGTGTATTTCTTAGCACATATAGCTAGTATGTTCTTACTCCAGCTAAGAACTAAGAAGTGGAAGCTAAGCATCCTAGATTTGCCAGAATTGTGGTAAGAACAGGAAAGAAGTTCTGCAGCCTCAAATCATAAAAGGACAGAGAGAGCACTGAACCAGAGGAACTTTCCATTGGTTGAGTAAGTGGATAAGTGATCCTGGTCACACACCTCATAAACTTTCGTCTTGTGGGGCAGTTCACAGTCTCTTATGAAGGTGAAAATAGTGCATGGGAAGTCCTAACTAAAACTATCAATGGGTAACTCTTTAGATAACCAAACAGTATCTTATCCCCTTAATACTCTTATTTTTTTTTCTATTGCTATTTAATTGAAAAATACTTAATCCTTAAATTTTACAAGAACTTCTGGAGACTTTCTCATTTCTGAAACTGATTGTGCTAAATGCAGAATAAATAATTCTTTGAGCCATCTTTTCTTCATTTTGAAAGAACCCATAACAGCATCCGTATTTAATAAATCACCAGACTAGAACGCTCCCCTCTTCATCCATCAGGCTATGAGCAATAGAGTGATTTACCCCCATCCATAAATCCAGGCTTTGGAAAGCATTAGAAGACTTTCAGCATGCTGCCTGTTATTCAATAGCATCTCAGTGAGATGGAGCTGTTACATAAAACCTTTACAGAGTGAGATTTGCAGATGGATTTCTGTAGTTCAGTTAATGAACTTTCCATCTGTATCACCCCTGTAAGTTTTTGCTTTCCAGCTGAACAGGAGATGCAGTCACTTAATGAAACCCCAGGGTCTATATATAGCACAGAAAGACAATTTAATTTATATGATGTTTCTCAGTAAAAAAGCATAGTTAATTCTGATTCCCAGAAACCAAAATTATAAGTGTAAACAAAAAAAAGTAATTTACTCCTTTAGTCATAATCAAGATTGGCTTTTTGCTGATTGAAGACGAGAGAATAATCTTGCTCACTGAAAAAGAGAAGGAGCATTGTTTTAAAGTATATTTTATAATAGCTGGTCTTTTTAAAACAGTTTAATTCGTATTTGTAATGATCATCATAAGGTCTCCCTGGGTCCTTTTGTTGACCCAAGGGCAGCCCTTACAACCCTCACGTGCTTCATGATGGTTTTACTAACAAGAATAACTTTGACCAGAAGCTGAGAGTGGGAGCAAGACTGCACAAAAAAAGGTGAGTCAGGGAAGGAGAAAGCAGCTGTTTTTCCTAAACTGAATTTAGTTCATTTACTGTAGGTACAGGGTACCTCATTGGAAATATGAGTGATAATAAAGAAAATCAAGTCTTTGTTCAAGGGAATTTATGACAAAATAGCATGGCTGAAGTGTTTGACTGCTAATGGGCATTGGATGATATGGATAGCTATAATTTGTGACAGGAATACTTACGAAACTTGGAAAGGGTAAAGGACAAGCATGATGCAGGGATGAGGCTGTGGAACCAGAGAAACTTGCAGGTAAGGGAACCTCTTATGATCAGGGCAAGGAAACAGGTGCAGGTTGCACGGAGGGGAAACCACCACTGCACCACCAGATGAAGAAGCAAAAAGCAATTATGGGACTTGATCTTAAAATCAGTGAGACAGGAGATAAAAAAAGGTATAAGAGCGACACAGAAAACAGCAAGAGGTCAGAGGGAGAAAATAATGAAGAAAGAAACCCTCTCAGGGTGGATGGAAGAGCCCAGCTAGTGGACAATACTGTTGGGTTGGATCAGGGCTTTATATGTTCTTTCATGATATATATGCTTATATGTGCTTATATACTGACCAGATTGCTCTAGGGATCCAGTAGCTCCCTGTCACCACTCACAGGGAGACCTCCATACATTACTGATTTTGCTCTGGGGAGAATTTATTTTCTGTTCTATAGATACATTTGACCTATCCCTTAGCTCTAGTTTATTTACATTTTTTTACCTGATAACGCTTTATTAACGACACTGTTATTAAAGACAGCAGTGATGATCGAGTGTACATGAGAGCACTGCAGCAAAAAAAAGAGGGAGAAGAGAACAGGGATATAGAATGACTGGGATATAGAATGACTGTGTCTCCTATTTTTCGATGGGTGGCAGTGTTAGCACAGAAATTAATTTTTCACTGCTTCAAAGCTGGCAGTGAGATCCACAGGCGGTTTGCTTAGATGTCATTCTGATTTTCTTAGTGGAAGAATTTCAGATTACGCTATCTCCAAAGTATGTATTCCCTACAGGAGTGTGGAAAGCTCGATCTGTCTTTCCCACCCAAGCGGCAAAATCCTGAGCTTCAAAAGCAGTTATGCACCACGAGGAAAATTAAAAAATGTGCATGAAGGTATGCTGAGCCATGATTGATGTAGGATAATACTTAGACAAAATGCTGTGTAATGTCCTTAAACTTGCATTAGGCTTGGGAAATGGTATAATTTGGAATTGGACTGTGATTTCTGACAGAATTTACCACCGAAAGCAAAAAGTTATTAATATGTCACAGCAGGGTGCATCAAAGCAAACAGGCTGATGTCATTGCTGCTTTAATGTCACTGTTTTATGTCTGAGGGGCATTGAGCCCCCTAGACTGAGATAGGACCATGCTGCAGGGCAGTGGAGCAGAGGGTGAGGGACAGGAGCCCTGTGCCAGGCAGGCTTAGGAATCTGCTCCAGGCTCCCCCCAGGCTTGGGTTGTGTTTTGGCTCTTTTTTTTTTTTTTTTTCCCCCTCTGTTAAATTTAAACTTGCTGCTCATGCCTCAGCTGGTTTAACCTTTAACTGACCTAGTTATTGAACCCGGGCAGCTGGTGGCATCTGAGGAAGTCAAGATTTCTCCTTTGTTGCTTGCAAACAGACACACAGACACTGGTGGGAAGCTGAGCAGCACAGAGGGGAGCCTGCCCTGGTCCCACATACACCAGGACCCTGGAAGCAGATTGTGTCCCTGCCCCTGATGCACAACCCCCATCAGCCCCTGAGGGCAAATGCATGCCAAAAAAACGAAGAAGGGAGAGTGAGCTAGTGCAGTGCAGGTGCTGATGGTCCAGCTGCCTTCTGACTAGGAGCCTCTTCTTCCTTGGTTCACCTGCTACGGAGAGGCAGTGACACAGAGATGTTCAGCAACAGGAGAATTCCTGTGCAGCTCTACATCACAGCTTCAAGGAGCGTGGACAAAGTGTATTCCAGAGGTAAGTGTTCCAGTCCTGCAGCACTGCCCTGGCACTGCCTGTGGAGCTGGAGTCAGCACTGGCAGGGTGGTGTTGGCACTGGGGTGGTGCAGTGAGGGGGCACAGGGCCCCAGGGGGGAGCGGTGGGTGGCAAACGCTGTATGGAAACTCCTGAACAAACCAGCGAGGCTGAGGTTTGTGGTGAAGGCTGTAATTAGAGCTATTCATAGAGGGAGGAGTATAAACAAAAGGTAACTTGCCTAATTTAAATGACCCAGTTGTACCTTTTGACCTTGAAGACACTAAAGGATTTGCCTTCGTGGCTTACAGCAGTGCCTTGCTGGTGTTATGTGTGACCTGCACGTCAGAGCAGTAGTGTTTTGTGATTGAGGTTCTGGCTGCACAGTCCTGCTCTGAAGTACAGTCCCTCTTGTGTAAGTGTGCAGTTCCTCCTGAGTGCTGGAGGGTTTTTTTGGCACAGTTTGAACAGCACAACTTCCCAAGGTACCTGACCTTGCACAAGCATTGCTCTGTGCTTGGTTATGCCCTGCTGTACAACTGAGTTGTCGTACACATCATTGAGGAACTCACCCCAACAGTCCTTACAGGCTCTAAGGTGCTCCTTCGGTTATTTAGGAATCTTTCCCAACTGAGGCTCTCTCCAGCCATTTAGTATTACAAGGAACAACACTTGTCCTTGGGAATTTGAACAAAATCAATCCTGATGCTTTAAGGACTGTGTATGTTTGCCAAAGACCTACCCATGAGCACCTAAACCTTGTCTTTTTCTACTCGTGCAGCCAATCCTGTTTTCTAACTGGCATCAAATTCTTTTTAATCCCACTGGCTGTGGCTGCACAATGGAACCAAGGCACGCTGCTATTGTTGTGTTGGCAAATGCCTCATTTTTCTAAGGAGAGGATTTGTGGCTCCTGGAAAATACAGGTCTTTCAGCAGACTGAGGCTGAGCTTGCCTGCACTCTGTTTATGTCCCTGTTCTGCTTGTTGCCAGATTGGGACAGAAAAGAAATACAAGCAAAGTTGTTCAACACGGACAAGGGCTCACTGTGCCCTGTCCTTTCCACTGGACAAACTTTGGAAAGGCTGTGAGAGGTAGTAAGCTAGTATTAAAATGCAGCAAGAACTAAAGCCAGCCATTGAAATGAATGAGAACGTACCTCTGTGTTGCAGAAAACATGGGAAGCAAAAAAAAAACAAACAAGAAAAAGACTATTTAGTTAATGTTTCAATAGTAGAGTGCAAGACAGAGAAAGATAAAATCTGTTGAATAAATCAACTAAATTTATGAACATTGTTTGTGCTTCATTTATGGTGTTCAACCTTTTAAGCAATAAGTTTAGCTGAAGGAAATATTTGTGCAGAAGTGCATATTAAAGAAAAGGAATGGAAAATAAATTTTAAAAATGTCAGTGGTTATGTATGCTCTAAGGAAGCTACTGCAATGTGGTGCCAGAGTAAAACAGCAACTAATCAACGCCTCTTAAGCTGCAAATATGAAATCTTCAGAGCAAATTGTTTTTCCTGGGGATTTGCACTTCAGTAATTATGTGGTGAAATTTAGCAAAAGCTTTCACTATCAGATAAACTCAAGCCACATTTGCAGACAGAAGTATGCACAAGTCAAGTTTTTATCTTTTCAGAAAGATGTAATGAGGTGTAAACATCTATAAAATATGTTTGACTTCAAAATCCTTTGATCTACAGCTCTGCAGAGTCAAAGGCAGAGTTAGGTGCAGAGGGCACCTAACACCACGTAATCCCTGCATCTCAGCTCAGAGCCAGCCACAGCAGTGTTCCTATCCAGGTACAGATTAGGTGATTCTTGGTTAAGCACATTTATGATTAGAATTTGACCATTTAGAAATGCAAATATAGCTGCTGACAGGGGGGAAAAAGCAAGAGGAGGGGAGCTAAAAATATCAGCATAATCAAGCCGCAGCCTGGAGCGAGTGGATAAGAGAGCATGATGAGGGCTTCCCTGGAGCTGTGCTTCCCTGGAGCTGTGCTTCCCTGGAGATGTGCTTCCCTGGAGATGTGCTTCCCTGGAGATGTGCTTCCCTGGAGATGTGCTTCCCTGGAGATGTGCTTTGGTGCTGCCACATTACAGGTAAAAATTGTAAAACTATTGCAATTCCTGAAACTCCATTGCTCCCCTGAGACCATTACCTCGTGCCCCAGAGAGCTCCTGAGCTATCTTCCTGCAATTCATATTGATTTGAGGTTTTCTGTTCAGCCAGGAGGAAGAACAAGGCTTATCCACCCAGTCTGCAACTGATGCTGTTGCCTGTCCTTTTGCTGCTGAGGTAAATTTGTATTGATAAAGCATTTGCAAATGCCTTCTTACAAACTCCCACAGCAATTCCACCAATAGCTGATGGCTGTCAGAATGGTATCAACAGTTTTACTCTGCTGAGGAGCAAAATGTTTTAATCTAATGCATGTTCTTTTTTGACTGTAATATGAGTGTATGTAAGAGGAATGCAGTGAGTGTGCCATTCTGGTCAGAACACCTGATTAAGTGTCTCTTCTCATGTTAAAATATAAGAACTATAATTTTTTTCTCCCAAAAGAAGAAAGAAAAGAAGCCACAAAGAATGATGAAGATGCTCCTGTTAATCTAGCAATTTTAGGTAAGGTTTTTATATTTTCATATATGATGGAATTTTCTAAATAAGATACTTGAATTAATTGTTATATTAGATTTAGTTAGACATTGCCCTGTTTAGTGGACATTTCTGTGGCTGTGGAGCAGTAACTAAGTTTCTTCCAAGTCCCATCAGTTCCATGGTAATGATGGAGTTGATCAGAAGTGCAAAAGATTGCTTTGGTTTAAAAGTTTACATATACAGCTTCCCAATGAGTTGTGGTGCAAGACTAAGCGTTTATTCCATACATTTAAAGTCTCTAGAAGGCTGGAAAGCATTTACAGGAATAATTAAAAGTAGGTTTCTGCACCACTGAAAAGGCCCAGGGATGGGATCTCGGGGCAGGTGGGGAGGACCAGGGTGTTGTCAGAGGGGCTGCAGGTCCTGTTCTCAGTGATGTGTGCTGTCCCACAGTGACTTTTCATGAGCAGGCCCCTTAGCCACAGCATACGTGGAGAAACAAAGCATATTTGCTAGTACCTGTTTTCTGAATCTTTGCTTGCTGCCAAATTCTTTCCAGTGGGTTATGGGGAGACCACGTCACAGAGAGGTGCTGCTCCCTTGCTCTCATCCACCCGTCATCTAAATTAGGTGTTTTGTAAATGTTTAATCACCCAGGTGTCAAAGCCTTTCTCTGCCCAGTCATGCTCTCTGGTTCTGGAACCCCAAAATGATGGGAATCCCAGGCTGAGGTTTGCGTGGAGTTAGAGGTGGATGGACAATGCAGAATCAAGCCTGCTCCATAATGAGGGACTGATAAATCATGTCTGTTTTCCTCTACAGTGCAAAGAGGGAAAAAAGCGAAGGGATGACCTAATTTAGGCGTTGAGATGAATGGTGTGACAGAAGAGTGTTCCTAAAAACGCACATAAAATGTAAATCCTTTTTTCCTGTGAGTGCCTGGGCAGCAGTTGACTTCTGTGACTCACTTAAGAGAAATTCCATGGGAAAAAGGTTAGGCTTTCTCTGGGATGAAAAGAACCAGAGTAAATGATACAAATGGTGATTGTAAAGCAGATCCCTGCCTAATGTCCCATCTGCACTATGTGAAAAAGCAAACTCAGGCAGTAAAGTTTTAATTGCTGCAGGAGGTTCCCTGTCTGTGAGAGGTGAACAGCACAGACCCCCAGAGACAGAGCTCAGATCTGAGGGCCAGCCTGGGAGTGCTGATGCTTTTCAGAGGAGAAAAGAGGTGCACCTTGTCAGGGGCTCTTGGCCTGCCGACTGAAAAACCACAGACACTGAACCAGTAGCTTTTCCCTCGCTCGGGTTGGTTGCTGGTCTGACGTGGAATAACCTACAGTGGAGTCCCAGCCAAAACCTCTTCCCCAAGTGGCTGCAGGGAGAAGCAGCCAGAGTGGAAAGACTGTGTGGATGGCCTACGTGCAGTTCAGTTCTGATGCAGAGAGTTTGTTTATGGAGGCTGATGTTCAGCTACACCATCGGCTGCCTCAAATAGCCCTGGAGCGCAGGGGGAAGAAAAAGCTAAAATTCTTTTTGAGAACTAGAGGATTGTTTATAGCAATTCAGCAGAAAGAAATGCATATTGATATACAGCAATCTGGGCTGCTTTTGAGCAGCCTAAGGAAGGTATGAAGAGCAGGATTAAATGGCCTACTCTCACTAAAACAACAAGAATCTTCATTCTCTCTGACTTTGATTTGGAAAAAAGATACATGAGATATCAAGGACAGACAGAGGCTGCTACTGAGATTTTACAGAATCTCAGATTTTACAGAACCTGGCTTCAGTGGTGTATGAGTTTTCTTGAATTTCTCTGATTTAAAGGGGAATTTTTTCCGCCTTTATATTGTCTTTGTTTTGCTTTGGAAATTGTGTCATAGTTCTGTCTCTGGCTTTGGTAGCTGCTTGGAGTCTGGCCCAATTTAAAGATTATATTTTTTTTTTTTTTGGAAGCAAGTGGTTTCTATTCTTTAGACTGGAAAGCTGGGAATGCTATCACTATTATCTCTTGGGGGATGAACCTTAAAACTGAGTAACATGAATAGCCTGTGGGAATAATAATACCTCACAACAGCTTTATACTGTGATTTGAGGGGTCCTGATGGCTCAGTAAATATTTAATAACAGTCTCAGCATCCTCATTCAGATTGCTAGCCCCCTACTATCCCAGGTGGTGCTCAGGAGGCTTTTGCAGGCTGTCACCACAGTGCTGTGCACAACGTGTCCGACACTCTTCTGGAGTCAATAAAACCAGATTTACTAAACTGATAGCAATAATAAAATCAAATTAATAATAATCTACTAGGATTACTTCATGTTTCCTGCTGAGGAAAAAAGTGTTTACTAAATATTTTTTTTTCTTGGAAAAACCCCCAAAGATGGGTATAATAGGGATGTGTTGTTTAGGAAGGCAAGGTTGAAAAATAAGGTTGAAAAAAACGCAACAGAGCTAAAGATAGTCATGTGTCCCTGTCATGCAGCACAGAGAGTGAGATATGCAGGGACCTGTAGGGCTTTTATACATGCACCTCTTTTCTTTGCTGTGACAACAGGATGGATTTTACCTGGCCATTTCCTAGGAGTGTCCTGGGGATGTGTGCTCTGTGCCTACCCACTTTCCTGCCTCCTTTAGGTACCCTGGAATGGAGGCTGCCTGCATGCTATATCTGAGGATACTGTTAAGCTGAGTATTGTAATTTTCGTTCTTCTAAACCCTACAGAAGTGATTTTGGCTGCAGGAAAATATACTACACATATTCTCTTGGTGGAGTGAAAAAAAGACTGAGGAGGAGGGAAAAGCTGGAGAAGACAGAGACACAGGTTTGCCAGTGGGTGTAAATTAGTCTGTGTGCCATCTTGGCCACTTTGTTAATTCTGTTTGGGATTTTATAAACAGCCATCCACAGTGCTGGAGCACTGCAGGGCTACCTGTGACTCTTGCTATTTATCCATCACACTGTTCCTCCCCACTCTGGAGGAGGTTGCTGCTCCTTCCAATACATAAAGTGAGTTTGTTTAGTTTAGTTTACTTTAAACAGGAAGGAATTTCATTCCACCACATTCCCTAATGTAGACTCAATCTGTATGTTGCCTTGAACAGCACAGGCTTTGGATTATCTGGAAGTGAAGCAGCCAGATCACCTCTGAAACTGCCCTCCTAAAGCCCAGACTGTGGGAGCAGGATGTACTGCCAAGGTCAGGCTTTGCCAGCCTTGACAAGTCAGCAGAATTATTTTAGTTAGAGACTTCATCTTCCTGAGCATCCAGACTAAAGAAGCACAGTTGCAGTCTCTGAGAGCTTATTTAAAATAAGATTCAAAGTAGCCATCCTCCTGGCTTCTGCTGAGTGATGTGCTAAAAATAATTAAATTTCCAAATCTTCTGAAAAGAGTCCTCTTGAGGATCTATTGGGAGTTCTCAGTTTAATCCAGTCATTCCATTAACAGCAGATAGGTGAGTTGTTTTGAATGCAGAGTGGATAACATTCATCAAGACTGTGCAGCTGTTCAAAGTTTGCCTCTTCTGTGCCCCTTTCCGTGGAAGTTCAGAATGGTCAAGCTCCCAGTCTCAAAAAAAGGCAGGCGTGCTTTTGCTCACTGGCCTGAAAAATACAATTGAGAAGAAGCATCTGGTGTACTGGATGTATTTCACAGTACACAGCCTGTGACCTAAAACTTTTTCATGGCATCAGTAACTCCTGGCCATTTTAGGGCTAAAGGTCTGGATTTGTTTTGCTCTCACGCTTGCCCTGTCAGTGACTGAGTGAAGGGATTAAGTCCCCAAGTGTGGGTTAACAGTTGTGAACCCTGCTCTGCAAAGAAAGTTTTCTGGTACTGATCTGAACCTAACCTCCCTTTATATCCCCTTTTACCAAAAAAAACCCTATGTGCACACACAATGCAAGATGGGAGAAAAGGACGAGGAAAAAACCCTGAAAGGTGTAAAGCTCCTAAATGTTTCTAAGTTTGAAAGCACATTCTCCTACTGATTCAGCCATGAGATTTTCTTGCTTGCTTGCTTATGCCAAGGATGCTGCTCAAAACCTCAGCTTTCCTGGTAACTGTATTTAGCTGTTCATTTAAAGATGCTATTTTTACTTGCCACACCTTGTTTTTATTGGCCTCCACCTTTTTACCCTATAAAAGGGTTTTTTTGTCAGGAGGCAAAATAGTTAGGTATTGCAAAGCCATATAATATTTTGACCAATGACTAAATTGGGAAAGATCTGTGGTTCTTAGCTTTTCCTCACCTTGCCTGTGGCTGCTCTTCCACACACTGCCTGCTGAAAAGTGGGAGCTGAAAGGCTCTGTGCAAGCAGCAAAATAATGGTCAGTGCTCCTCCTCTCTTTCTCTCTTGAATCCAGTGCTCCAGAAATGCTGCCAGAAGTTGTTTTGGGGCCATCTGGGATTCCTCATTTAGATCATACAGAAAGTATGAAATACGACTGATTTAATGGCAGTGTTGTTATAAATCAAACTAAATTACTAAAAAGACCTACCTGTCAAAATTAGGTTTTGTCAGACAGCAGTTTCTATTTACCTTATACGAGTCAGCTGGAGGAAATGAGATCATTGTGGACAGACAGAACAGACACAAAACTCCCAGAGCAGGGGCAGGAAAAGAAACTTTGACCAAAACCATTCCAGTAACAGAGAATATGGAATCTGATGTCTTCCCATAGGGGAATACTTGTGGGACGTGCTTCTCTGCTGCAGCGGTTTCCCCAAATTGCCACTCTAGAACTCTCCCCTGGTCTTCTGAAATCTCAAAAAAAGTAGGCTTTAGGTCAGCTATTGTAAAGCCCATAGTGACCTGCCCTGCTGTGTGGATCATCCACGTGTGACACACACTGTTCAGTGCCACAGGCGTGGGCAGAGGGACGCTGTTTGTTGACAGACACAAAGCTTCAAGTGCCTCCCAGCTTCAGAAAATTTCTTACAGGCATTTTTCTGCCAGTTTCTATGAATCCCACAGTAAATGTTTAAAATTAGTTTTCTTTTTGCCAGTTTTCTTGATTGTCGATTCTTTTTCTATTCTGTTCTTTTCTGCATCCCAAAATAACAAAAGCAACATTTT